CGCCTGGGGCGAAAGTTTTGTTCACAACCCAGCATTCTTGTGAAACATTCAACATAACTGAAAGGTAAAACATGCTAGCACAATAGGCGGTAACGAATCCCAGCTATACGCGTTATATGGGCAGCTGGTTCATTTGTACCACAGCACAGTAAATATACTGGTGCGATCAAACTCTTTACTATATACTCTACGTAGCGACAGTGGATATCACGATAGAAGTCTAAGAACGACCGAAGAATAAAGTAGCTGGAACGTTCATATTTAGTATGATTCCCCTGTGATCCGTGCCAACTGGTGGACTTACGAAACACTGGCCGCAGAGAGTGCGAGAGACCGCAACCAGTTGATTAGGTAAGAATTCTACTTTTGTGACTTTTGTGATTCTAGCAACGTGCGACTGTTTCAGTATGCTTGGTCCATGCTTCGTCGCCGTATCGCTTTTCACCATAGCGATGTGCTGCGTGTGTTCGTGGAGACGGTCACGACCTTGGTGCGTGCTTAGTCTGACGAAGTCTGCCAGTTCCTCACGTTTAGAAATGTACACTTTTCAGGCTCGCGGTCGGCGGCGTGATTTCAGCAGCTATGGCCATCGCTTCTGCCATTGGACTGCTTGCTTCTACTCGGTTTCGGCATGACCAGCGTCGCCTATTCAATGCCGTTCATAGTATTCTGTACGATTTTCAACAATTTCGGTTTTGCGCTTTGCGAACACCCTTAGTGGCGGGGCAACGGTGCTGCTGCAATTGAGTGGGAGGAAGGGGCAGAGACTCTTTTTGTCTGCATCTTCTCACTGATTCACTACCAATTCTCACATTCCTATTTTTTCCCAGAAGTTCTCTGATAGGCCCTACCCATAAATTGGTCACATTTTCCCGTGATCAATGATCTTTTACTTTTGAGTGCTACCCTGTATCGGTGAGAAAGCGCAAAGAGATGGACCGATGCATCGCTCTACACGATTGCGCAAAATCATGAAGTTCATAGTTGGAATAGCCCTTCAATATTTACAGCGCCGGGCATCTGCGAGTTAAACAATCTGCACTACTTGACCAGCCTGGCTTACCCAAGAAGCCCACCTAAAATCGATTAAAGTTTCGAAAATATAAGTGCAAATCGGAGTGATTTACGAGCTGCTGTAGGATCGCCTCAGCTTTTGGCGACCAAAATTCTAGACGGGTAATTTTTTGAGTGACCATTTTTGGTTTTTTGTTGCTGGAGAAAAAATTGATGACGTGTTGGATTCACCGGTGATGAAGTGAAGAGCGGTACTTGACAGAATTTCTAAGCATTCGATCACGATGGTCTACGTGAAATCGGAGATGGCTTTTGTTTGTGCCTACTGAGGATGAGTTTGACCACAGAGTTCCCTCCCTTTCCCGCTCCGCTCATTCGAAGGACTGCACACTTCGAGCATATGAAAATTTGGGAGTAGTTCTTGAAGGGATCGGATACCTTGATTTTAACTCAACCTTTGTCGCACATACAGTGCGCGTCAATTGTATATGCCACCCCCTGATTTTTTCAGTTTTCTGACTTATTTGGAAATTTCGTAAATCGGCATAGCAACCATCGTTTTCGGCGTGTCGGAAAACTAAGAATGGTGTTGTTTGATTTTGGTTAACGCGTGGATTTGAATTGCTCTGTTCTTTTGAAGAAAATGGGCCGCGTCAATTGCTTATGCCATCCTAAGTTTCTTCAGAATTTCTCATGTCTCTAACGCTATTCAGCTACGGTGTGCATGCAGTACAAATGAGGAAATCCTCCACTTATGCAATGCACACAAATGGTGAAGCATTTATAACTAATTAGTTCGGAATATTAGCCCTATACTGGACGGTAGCAGCATGAAAACGCTTTATCAGAGAAAGTGCTGTGTGCTCACTCTTGCGATCGCTCCTGCTGCTTATTGTAGAACTCATCGAGGAGTGTATCCAGGCAAAACTGGGGAAATTTAAGTGCTCAAGGAGCTCTAAATTCTCATTTTCCCGCTTCGAATCCGTGGTCAACTTTATTTGTGGTCTCGGCTCCCTGCGAAAGCTCAAAAGTCTCTTTTTTTCACGCTCACAAAGTCTCTTTTTAGAGAGAACATGACTCGTACCTACTACCCGTCTGGTACCCATCACTGAACTCGATCGAAGTTTTCTTATCAAGGCGATGCAATGATGGCCCATGCCACCACTTCGGTGTCCCGTTCAAGTTACAACTGGCCCATGTCATCATTTTCGCTCGCTCGGTACGAAAATTTTTCCAGAGAGAATCCGACAAAGTTCGGCGATGGGTACTAGGCGGAGTTGTGAGTGCGACTCGGTGTTCTTTCGCACAGAACTTGTGAGCGTGAACCTTCGGAGGACTCGCGGGAGCCGAGACCAACAAATAAAGAGACATGAGAAATTCTGAAGAAAATTTAGGATGGCATAAGCAATTGACGCGGCCCATTTTCTTCAAAAGAACAGAGCAAATCAAATCCACGCGTTAACCAAAATCAAACAACACCATTCCTAGTTTTCCGACACGCCGAAAACGATGGTTGCTATGCCGATTTACGAAATTTCCAAATAAGTCAGGAAAACTGAAAAAATCAGGGGGTGGCATATAAAATTGACGCGCACTGTAGTCCCTGACGATGGTCAGCAAACTAAAGAAAAGATTCGATTGTACAACTTCCATTAACACGTTGGAAACCGCGCATGTTTTACGTTCTGCCGCCGCGTGGGACTTCAGTGAAATTTTCAGAATTTTGTCAAGCACATTGAAAAGAAAGAGCTACTGTATGATGTGGAAGAAACTTTGTTGATGAAATGAAAAGGAAAACAAAAGAAAAATCTGACATTCGCTCTTGGTAACTTTTTCCTATTACGTCACGAGCTTAGGACTTCTTCTCCGTTCGCGCTCACGCTTGTTAGATTCAATCGGCGCCGATCCCCTCGTTATTAGGCGATATAGGTAGTCTTATTAAGATTCTATTGAATGACAGTCATGCCCTGCGAAATAGGTGGACATTATGACCCTCATGGCATAGGTAATGCAGGCCCAACAGGGAACCCAGAGAGACTTATAGTCGTAGAAAACGTCGAATTACTGCCGGAGTTCTTTTATTAGTAAGATTCATCTGATCCCACCCTATTTCTTGGTTCTCGAGGTTGAGAATTCACTGCAAGACGCTCAGCGCTCGAGTGTTTCCAGCCGTCTGGCATGACACCTCGACCCGTTGTCATGCTCATCTCCCGTTTGTTTTCCAAGTTCACGATGAATGGGCGCGCAGTCTTAGCGGGGCTCACCCCATGGATCGGGACACTCGGTGACGTGTTAGGCGGCTGTCTATGTCCGAGCATTGGACAGTGTTTCATTGTGTAGATGGCTGCAGTGTACGCAAACAGATACGATAAGTTACGCATAGGGTACAATTGTAGTGAGCGGGCGCAGAAGTTGATCTGTCTCGCAAACACGATGAAAGAAGATCGCATTCGCGAGTCGCACTGCGCATCCAAGGCAAATAAATAGCCAATGCCATTCACTGAGTTCGATCGTGGTTGATGGATATACTACTCAATCTGCTCGGGTCGAACGAAAGTCCTCACAAATTCGGAGTTCAGAAAGAAATAAGGATGTGTGCAATGAAACTTCTCCCCCTCGTGAAGATGAGTAACGGATAATCGCTAGAACTAGTGCATAAATTCTCATGCATGAGAATTCTTACACCGAGAAAAATCAGAGTTCGAGAACTCACTTTGCAGACACTTCACAAATGTTAGGCGTAGCGAAAGGGCTCATTTTGCCACGACGACACTCCAAGGAATGAATTCCCGCGATTAATATTTGTGACAATCCAACGTCGAGAATATTGAGTAGCAACATCCTCTTGAGTTCCGTAGATTGTTTACCAGAAAACTCTTTTTTTTCTTCCTTGTCGCTCTTACTATGTGTAGAATGAGCCTTGAGACATCGGTTCACAGAGTACACAAAATCACGCGGTTTTTGGTGCCTTCAGTACCCGAAGGTTCTATTCTGCTTCCATCTGGGCAATTTGCGTAGCAAAGAGAAAGAGTGGTCCACCTCTTGTTGGATCTGACCCAATTCATTACATTTGATCTTCTTCTTCACAAGTAAATTAGTTCACTGGTACCAACGGCTTAACATCGGAAAGTATGGCATTCGACTTTTCCGATCCTATGCCAGTAAGGAGAAACATGGCGCCCTCCTGAATTTCTATCTTAGAATCCCTCTTGAAAGAGTAGCATTACCAAATGCTCACCGATTGTGTCGAGTGATTCACTCTGCTTGAATTCGTGAACCCTGAAGAATTTCTTCATAGCTTGTGGTTTGCTATTTTCCAGTCAAATTTGCTGCTAATGCAATTCAGGTGATATTTGAAGCTGCATGACTGAGACCATAAAGAGTGGAACGGCCAGCCGCCAAGCCACGAGAATTTTCTTCACAGCATCCATGTGCAAACTAGGATGTTAAGAGTTGCTCGTATGACTCAACAGCAAGTAAAAAAGACAGTACTAGCGATTTGGGTGGTTATTACTATCCCGTAGTAACATGGTAATGTTCATTGAAGCTGAACGAAATCAATTTTTCACTAGAAAATTCAAGAGCTGGTTAGCCTGAACGAGTTCGACAGTTGTCCTGCAATTTTTCGGCGCTTTTTTTGCCAAAACTATGTATTCACACCGTGTAGAACCAAGCATTTTGTGGTATTAGCTTTCTCTTATTTGCCTCCCTGGAAGAAAAGTTGTCTTGTTTTTGCTTATTGCACTTTTAGGATACTGTTACAGGTGAAAAAGAGGTGGAATAGTGCCCCACTGTTTTTGAATATCGGAGTACAATGACGTTTGCAGAAACCATTGAGATGATCACATTCATAATAGTTGTTATCAAAATTCGCTAGTTTTTTTTTTTACAACGGCAGAGCATTTTCAGCTGTCGGCGTTGACAACGTTTTCATACTTCTGTCGGCATGGCGGTCGTCTCCAACACACCAATCGCTTCAAAAACGGATGGAGGAGACGTTTGCTGACGCTGGCGTCTCCATCACAGTGACCTCCCTTACGGACTTCATCTCCTTTGCCGTTGGTTGCGCGACACCATTTCCAAGTGTTCAGGTTGGGCGCTTTCCTGGAAGTTCAACTCGTGAGGGGCTGGAGGAACGTGGAGATTGCCTTCTTTTCAGATGTTTTGTGCGGTATGCGGTGACAGCAGTGATGTTCACGATACGTCTATCAGTCGTCCACTGTCTTCGCTGAATGCCGATGTCCTAGCACATCGTCAGGCGAATGGGACACGCAGACAACTGCAAGTCCACTGGTTGGCAGAAAGATCAAAAAGGGTTTGTTGTTTTCTGGAGTTACATCGCACAGATTCTATGATACACATAGTTTTCAGAAGAGATCGAAGAGTGCATATGAAGATCGAAGTTTTGAGAAGAATCATTTACTTTCGCAGTTCTTCCGCACCACCCTGACTCAGGGACCTGTGCTTCTGAACTCGCGAATCGGTGAGCTGTGTGGCTCATTGCATCCATTGCCTTTCTTCATGCTACCTGGTACGCATCTTGAGACTCTTCCTAGCGGAGTCGATAGGCATTTCACTTTTGAAACTATTGTAGGAGTATGCGTAGTGGGTGTGCAGGCAGGGAGGGTCAAGGCTCGGACTTGAGAAACGACTTACTGGGGCCGTGATCAAACTCATATGGTGGAAGTCAGAACAGGACGTGTCTGGGTTGTTGGTGTTGGGGGCAGGGTGGGGGGCGCCGTTCCTCGCCGAGAAGTATTCGTCGTGTGGACTGCAACTTTTGCCTTCAATATTACTGAATAAGTATCGAAGAAAAACGTGGCATTAATCTCTGAGTGAAATGAATCAGCAGAGATCGAATCCTTGAGAAGTCATCTACTGATCCTGAGCTATCTAAGCGGTGGCTCATTGAATGTAGTGATTTGCGCTGGGAGTGCCGAGCTGTGTAAACTCCGGCTGAAAATTGGAAAATGCCTTTCAAAACATAGAAAAATTATGCGTACCGAGGAGATAGCCAGTGAGGATTATCATTACCATTGGCCGTTTAGTGAAAGTGGTACGGTTAGGTTCGCGCGGCTGAGGCTGCTCATCTTCAATTTTGCTAAAGAATTCGCCAGCGGATATAAGCGCGAGGGCGGCAGTTGGTGGTTACTCGCGGGCCTTTCTTAAAGAACGTTCCTAGATCGATTTCCTGTTCGTGGAGTTGACATCTAAGCATGCCGGCAACGATGGGCGAGCGGTCTAACCGGTGCAGCAGATTAGTTGACCCTCTGATGTTGCAATGATGGCACAGCTTGCTTGTCGGTGACAGACCGCTCGGCGTGCAGCGGTGCGCGTTGCGTAGCTGAAGGTCAGTCCTAATGAGGTCATACTTGCTGGCCATGGCGTATAAGCGGTGGCACAAGCCTTCAGAGTGGCACCCTGCAGGAGCGTCTTATGGCGTGAGCGTCGATAAAACGGCCTTCAATTCCTTTTTGCGATGAAAAACGAATGGCGAAGCTGACCGACATAAGTTTTTTTCACACAGACGGGCCCCGCTCGCAATGCCACACCAATCCTGTCAACTGCGTCATATCTATCTACTAGGGTGCTGTCGCCGCTAGGAACGTAGCCCTATCAGACATCGCGGGAATTCCACTGGAAACACCTGTATGACTCACTTCAAAGGTTATTACTAACCGAACAGGTTTTGTATGGTGCATTTATTTAGCCCGATCCGTCTCTTCAGAATATAATTAAGCAGGTCTCGAGTTGAGATTTGAGACCCGAATTCTGAAGCATATACAAGTACACATCTCAAGCTTGAATCAGACGAAGGCGACATGAATGCCCTTGTCCTTGTAAACACATTCTTCAGTAGAGTTGCGAGGCGCCTGGTGTGCGGCAATCATCGAGTCATACCTCAGAGTGGAAGGTACGATTCTTGGACAACGGGGGGGTGCGCCGGCTGGGGCCTTGGGTGCCGTGTGGTGGGGTGGGATTCTAAAGCTGCGGAAAGTGCTAGTGAAGAATTGCTATGAGAGAGATTACCCGACCGCTCTCAATGCGTTGGACTAGTAAATTGTTTCTAACAACGGTATCAGCAAGATTTGCAAGCAATCAATCCAAGAAAATGCGCCAGAAATTTTCTCCTGATGCACCTAAATATATCAGCGAGATCAGCGGAGTGCCGGTAAAGCGCCAATAACTTTTTTTCATTATAGATTAAATAGATAGGTTTTTTTCAAAGTGTGATCCATCAATGTTTCTTCCCATGTCGTTCACCTGAAGAATTCCTGTACGTCGAGAGTAGCAGTGTATTGCAGACTACGGTAGTAATCTCCATGTATGGATGTACAATCTGTCAAATGTCGATATTGGTCCAAGACGTATTTGGACGGTGTTGGACAAGGAAATAGAACTCTACGAGCACACTGAGTTCACAGGAGCTGCTGATTCGTGGTGAGTAGCCGATATGTCTGTTATTAAAGTTTCCTCTCCTCCCTGGGTTATTATTATTACTACAGAAGTAGATTTTCTTAGTATCTCATATTATGTAAATCACTACGTTTGCGTGTCCATTTTGTCAGTATTTTCTATTAATTTGGCCTGCGAAATAACGGTATGTAGAAAGTGTGAGGGAGCTCTAACTCCATTAACAAAAACGGCCCCCACTATGTACATGGGGATTGCTATTTATGTCATGCTGTGATGCTGAAAGTCACCCCCTATCCACCTCCCCAGACAGCGATTGAGGCGAACTTCGACCGCAGTCATATAGGGACCACATATCTCCTGTTCCACGGCATCATAGGTCGAAATCCATTCCCTGTTATTTATTGTTAACCATTACCTCGTTTTTTAATAGTGACAATCAAAACTATGCAGCTTAGCATCACGTCGCATTATAGACATTCCTAGATTTCACGATAGTTGTTTATAACCAATCAGCAGAACCGAGGTGTATAAAGGGGTTTAGAGGGGACGTGAGAGCCTCAATAGTACGCCAATGGCGAAAAAAGCAAAGAAATCCATCCGTAATAACGACGACGTCTATAAAGTGGCCCAATGTATTCTACAATGGCCGAATGGGGTGGTTCAGTTTTTCCTTGTGTCGTCAATAGAATAAAGGATAAACACCGCGACACAATAGATGCTGTCGAGTAACCTGCCACGCGTAAAGGTAGTGAGAAGAGTACTGTGTTCGAAAAGAAAAACTCCAAAAATTAGACTCACGAAATTTATATACCTCTCGATTACCTTCGTACAATAGCCGAAATGTAGCACACCAGATATATACTGAATTAGCACCAACAGAGAGGTCAAATCTCAGATCCAGTAGTGACTCACACCGACGGTCACCCAGATGACCGTTCAGACCAAGGCAAACCGAGCCAGAAAACAGAACTGACGCCGTCGAGCCTCTCACGAGGCGGGAGCATGTGTATGGTAAGATAGTATGCCGCTGCATGAGGTGCTCGACGACGCCTACAAGACTGTATGTAAAAGCTCAAGCAAAGCACGGCATGAGGAAGAATGCAATAGATGAGAGAGTAAGAGAGAACAAGGGTTATGAGCGCAATACAGAATAAATGAAGTACAATATAGGTGACAAATGAACTATGTGAAATAAAGAATCGCGTATCGTCGCGATAGGTGCCCCTTTGATTGCCCTTTCATTTTCGACCATGGATGAGCGACGGTAAAGACTGAGGTTGTTCGGACGTGTTAACCCCGATAGCCGCCATCATGCCAACAAGCATAGTGTTTCGATTGATAAGGCATAACATGGGCAAGATGGAAGATACAGCCGCGAGAAAAGGGAAACGATCTTCCCAATATAGAAGTGCCACAGCAACAGCGTGCCCAAGTCACTATTGAACACGGTGGGCGTAAGCTGTGCAGGCGGAGTCACTGAAGGTCTCTGGCTCAGCAACCACAGCACTTTTTGCCGTGGAAGCGCCACACATCGCTTGGCAGCCAAGTAATTGCTGCGTGTGGCGCACGTCCTCCCCCGATGCGAAAACTCCTTATCGTAATCGCTTCCCTTTAAACTCAGCAGAAGTGCAGAAGAAACCAGAGGAACTGTGAAAAACCCAAGGAGTGGACCCCTATACTGATAGTTGATTGTGTGAGTGTGTGTAGCTGAGTGGCAGCATTTGTAGGTAAGGATACCCCAATAGAAGAAATAACAGGACAAGATTTAAATTCATAGCTTTTTGGAAGAGCGCTTTTAAAATGTAGTGCATTACTGGGCCGGTGGAATCGGTTCCCTTGCCGTCCAGCTTTCACACGGCTCAGTGCCACTCTTCCACGTGCCCGTTGCCGCTCACGGGACTGTGAACTCCCCACACGTCACATGCCAAAATGTTCACGAGATGTTCCTTTGATTTCAGGTTGCGTACTTACCTTGCTTTCACCAAACAGTCTGGATTGCTCATTACTCAGGATAATTTTGTTTACATTCTCAGGAATGTGTTCTTGTCACAACCGCCAATTCGGCAAAATCCCGGCGGTGATGTGGAACCCATTCAAGAATCGATGAAGAGAATTTCGCGGAAAAATTTGTTGAAAGATCTTGAAAATCAAGTGACTATCACACACGCGACGGGTTAATTCCTCTCAACAACTTGCTTACTGTAGTTAATTATTTTGTTCGACGCAAGCGGATCTTTGCTGGACGCCTCTCGAGTACCGATCCAGCTCCGTCATGTTGGATTTGCGAATCAAAGTCGAGCGATGCAGCTGTTCAGAAAACTGGCTGAGACTAGTAAGCTTCCGACCGGCGTCTATGCCGACTTCTTCCAGGTTGGTTGCAATCTGAATGTCTGTACACCCCTTGGTGTGGGGGTGCGTGACTATTCAATCGTGGCAGTGGCTAGGTCGCCGCGCAAGCCGCCGCAGCCCGCGATGACACGGCGAACTCGCGGAGAACTCAGTATCCAAACATTGGGAATGTAAGATTAGATGAAGTTTTCAGTCATAAAATATGGAATAGGACGCACTCTAAAGCCTGAATCTGCAGTTTTCTTCGCCCCTTGCCATTATTTATTCAAACTTATCCTATCATGCTTATGTTAGCGCTTTCCTCACCGTTCCTCTGTGTCTTGGAACGTGACGTTCTTTTTGTTGAACCAGATTATCACCTCCCTGATAGAAATCCAGGCAGCTGATTAATAAAGGAAGTCGAATTAAATTCAAAAGGACAACCTTTACATGGTACAACCTTTGCAGTGTGAGGCTTAAATCATTTGCGAAACTTAAAGCCACGAGTCAGGATTAGGCAACCAGCAGAAGTTCTTCCCAGGGTGCGATAGTGGGCTCCTCCAAGCACTGAGGGCGCGACACTATCGCGACCCAAAAGTGCGCGGCAATGGCGCTAAGGCCTTGCCCGCCGGCTGCTGCCCGCGCTGCCAGCGTAATTTACTCCAGACTCCACAGCGGCATACGTGGTCTCTGCGTCCTCTCCACGTACGACGTACTATCTCGCGTTCTCCCTCTCCTCGCAGCGCTGTGTCTCTCCGTCGTACTACGGCCGGCCTCCTAAGGGAAATTTAGTGTTTTCTATGGTGCTTCTTTGCTTTTTCTCCTCACTAATGTTCCTCATTGCACCCCTTGCCTAATGTTTGAACAAAATAATTGCAGGTAGCAGTTCGGATCGCCGCCGACCGTCGGGGCCTTTAAGATGACGTTTGCTGGCGGTTACTGGAGTCCGCACTTCTTGACCTATCAGTCGCCACTCTCTTAACGCAGCTATGGACAGTGGGAAATGTGTAAGAGACAAGATTTTCACATTAGTGAATTGCCGCTTGCCAACTGCCTGCCCTGCGACGATTCGGTCGCCGGGTGAGCGGCGTGACCTCATTAGCTTGACGATTGAATTGACCGGTCTCCCCTTGGTGAGGTGACACTCCAGCATAGCCGGAAGAATCGTGACCTTAGTTTTTTACATGAAAGTGCTTGGAGTTCGAATCCCCTCCGGAAAGGGAATAATGAAGAAATTTTCACAAGAATGCTGGGAGAATGCAAAACTTTCGCCCCAGACGGACTCGAACCCGCACATTTTGCTTACCGGGCAAGTGCGCTACTAGTTACCCTACACAGTGCTTACAAGCTATGGTAAGTATACCATGAAAAGCTGAGTTGGAATGAAATGGTGCCCCGGTAGCGTAACTGGTAGCGCACTTGCTCCGATATGCAAGAGGTGCGGGTTCGAGTCCCGCCTGGGGCGATGATTTTGCGCATAACTCAGCACCCTTGTTAAGGTGGACTGTGGCCAAAAACAACAGTTAACAAACAAAAACAACTCGAAGAAATTTTCATCGAGTATGGTACATAACACTTAGCAGGGAGTTCCTTCTGATCGTAAGAACGAAATGGGAAAGAGAGGAAGGATCGACTGATTGAGGAGATTGGTTCAAGTCAAAATCTAGGAATACTCTTTTTTTGACTCCTTGCCGACAGCAAGCGTTTCGGAAGTATCATTCACTGCACAGTGCTGGGGAACCTAGTTCATCAATGACGTCATCAGAACCGCTACGCCATTGTCCAGGCTATCGTGTTCACTGCTTGAAGGCTAGCCCGGGCTGAACTGGTGTATTAGAGCGCTTAATAGGGATAGCTGAGCAGCGGAATGAACTGGAAGTGGGGAAAAGCAAGAGAACCCATTGGAATGCTGAATGAGGGCTTTAACTCTCAGTAAGGTCGTGTGTGGTACGACATAGAGACGGTGTGACCAGAGAAAACAAACACGTGAGAGAGCACGCATTACGAGAGAACACGCTGATCTCCACATCAATCGCGGTGGGTGGAGAGCGTTGCGATGGCATGAGCGAATGACCACGCCATTAGCGCCCTAACCACGCATTTTGAGCAACGAAGCTGGCACGACCCCTTTAGGTACGCGCCTACCACCATTACTCGTGACGTGGTTCCTACTAGTGGGGGCTGATCCCGGTTTGCCCTTTACCAAAACGACATTGCACCACGAGTCTAAAATTCTTTGCACATATTATAATTTTGACAATTTCTGATTGTTAATTGGCTATGGGTTTCGACAGTAACCCACCACCACCATCCTTCATAATATTGAAGGACGGCTACCACCACACAACTTTGATGGGAAACTATTAGAAGTTACCAAAAGAATGCCGAGTTGTGGGCAAAACACTCTCCTCAGCAAGGAATCGATTGTGACCTCATAACCACCGAAAAAAAACAATATCAGTAGGGGTGTGTGATCACCCAGTCCTTTTCCAGTTCGCAGAGCAGTACAACGCCGTTCTACCGGGCACGTTGTCGTCAATTGGATACGCTGGAGCAGCTGTGATCGTGGTTTCCCTTCTGCTAATTCCAGAACCGGTGGCTAGCTTATGGGTCAGTTCATGATATCACATCATGTTTTTTCCTTTCAGTTGCTGGCTTATTTTTTCTGTTTTTTTTTTGCAAACATTTTGAAACAAACTAGAGCAGTAATTCGCGTACTTTTTCATACGATACTGGTTAAAAAATTCGAAGTTTTGTTTATTCTCAGGTCTCGTTCTCGATTGTCTCGATCAACATTGGAATACTCGGTTTCATGACATTTTGGAATGTTCGACTCGACTTCATAAGCATGGTGACGATCGTCATGTCCATCGGATTCTGCGTCGACTTTGCCGCTCATTTAGCGTACAACTTCGCCAAGGTATTTTCTGAAACAGTTGTTGGCAGTATCGCAGTAGTCCGTGGGAATTCGCAAATTCGAACGCACTTATTCATCTCTATATGTACTATGTTCCCCACAAATCTTAGCCTGAGAGCAATGCGCCACAATAAGGAACAAAAATGCGCTCATTCTGACTGTAATTTCGTTGGCAAAAACGTTTCCCTGTATGTTAGACTGCATTCTATCCCATCGATCGTTTTGTCACTATTCTCCGAAGTCGAACGTATCCATTCTGTAGACGTGCTCCTTTCCATGCGCCCCTCAGGTTCCGCCCGGTCTACCCGGGACCGTCCCTGGAGTGAGGTTTTTGTAAGTATCCTCTTCGCAAGCAATTTTCTTACGTGAATTTGTGTACGTTGTCTCGAGTGATCAAAAATGAAATATTGTGAACGTTAGGAACGGAATGTTGGGAACGAGCAAGGATTTACCGTGCAAGATTCCTTCCAGCTCGTTTGTTTATTTCCTGTATGGGAAAAAACCGATGACGTTAAAGGGAACAGAGAGAAGTTCTAAGAGCTGACACCGAGTGCCCCTTTCATTAAAGGAGGATTCTATGATAAGGTGGAGGGTAGAAGAATTGGAGACTTACCCAGTGAAAAACAGGCGGATTTCTCAAGGGAGCGAAACGCTATTTCTCGGAAAGGATGTGCCCTCAGCGAAATAGAATGGCCCTCCCCACGGCGATACCGGCGGTACGTTCATCGACTAGCTGACCACTCGCCGCAGGTGGTGGCGTTTAGCAGAGAGAGCGTTAGCGTAAAGAGGTATGCTCCAAAGGGCGTAGTCGCAATCAAACTTGTAAGTCGCTCAGACTTTCCAGATACCGAAAAAACGCGTTCACGGTTATCGAAGGAGGAAAGGCTAAAAGCATCGGTGGGTGGAGCATGTAATGTGGCGGGCGGGACTAAATTCCAAAGTCGCAATATGGTCCAGAAACAACACAGAGTCCGAGAAGAAAGCGGATAGAAACTCACTTCCAAGGGCCAGTCAAATATACGTGGCGATCGGGCTAACTTTGAAAATTTGCGGCCCTGTTCCATATTCGCTTCCATTCGCCGCAGAACCATGCTGTGCACGCGACAGTGTGAGGCGCAAACTGGCGATGAAATATGCAGCATAGCACAAAATGTGGCGCTTACTTGCGCGCCACATTTTATGCTTCCCACGCTACTCATGGTCACCTGAATGGCTTAGACTCAGTATTTGGGCTCTTGAGTTGTCTGTCACGTTTGGAGTTTTAGTGATCGTGAGGTGTTTTGATTTACGCCCATCCTGAGACATTTAGCGTGTACAATAAATATTGTATCGAGTACCACGCTGTTCTTCTACCAGTTCTACAGCCAAGCGCCCTTATTTTCATTATCTAGCTGCCGCGCTATATTCAGGTAAAGTATGATTCATAAATATTTTAACCCTTTCGGACCTGAATTTTTCCCCGTGGAGAAATTTTTCTTCTAGCTATTGTTTATTACTTGTGAGCATATAGGTATCATTATGGCGAAATTTGGAAGCTATTCGATCACAAACAAAGAAACTAAAGCTTTGAAAATTGGCCCACCTTCTTAGTTTTTAAGCTTATGTCGAAACAATTCGAAATTTCATAGTTATGCCGAAAAGTTTTACAATCTTGCATAACATTATAACCCATATTTTGATTTAGGAATGGATCTACTTCAAGTATTTTAGAAAAGTCACACTCACTTGGCCGGGTAGCGCCATTCATTGTCTTTGCGTTGTAATAAATACTTAGTATCTAACAGAATCCCACAATGAAAGGCAGTTTAGTTTATAATTAGGGCGAAGTTGAAGGTTGCTGAAGCACCTCTAGCTGGATCAGAAAACAGTTGTTTCAAGTCGGTCAATGTAAGCCGTTTTGATTTGGTGGTGATTGCACGCTAGGCGTCGCAGGGTTAATTATTGTAATTTTGACTGGGCTACCGTAATAGTTCTCGTACATGTGTTTTCGTAGGGTTCTGCCACGCATCCTCCCTAATGAATGCGATAAAAGTAGCGGGAAGACATGTTTGACAACTCGTCTTCTGACTTTTTAAGTAGTGGTTCATTGACGCGCGACCGACTTAACAACATGAATTTGAATATTCAGGGACGCAATCTACCGTCATCTGAGAGAATGCGTAACGCACTGTATGCGGTGGGAGCGCCGATTCTGCAAAGCGCCACATCGACGATTCCTCGGCGTGTCATTCCTCGCTTCTGCAGAATCGTACGTCTTCAGGAGCTTCCTGAAGACAATATTCCTTGTTATTTCTATTGGGTAGTATAGCCGAGAAAAGTATTCGCCTATCTCTGGATGATCACTCGCTGCATGGTCATGTAATCTTGTTTTGGCATCAATAACCTTTTCTTAATATTGTTTTATTTCAGGGAGTTCCACGCTTAGTCATCCTTCAGTCTGTGACAAGTTCACTGTTCGTGCACAACCATCGCGCCGAGCGATAGCGCACCTTTTGCAATCAGCGAAAGAGACTTTATATCTTACTGATTTAATACTTCTTCCAGTCCTGGATTTGTATGAATTTCGCACGCATTTGAAGTTTTTCTGTCCAGTATGGATATTTGAAGGAACTGAAGGCCTCATGATTATATCATGAAGCTTCTGCTCCTTATCCTATGCGAGCGCGACTGAAGTACACAAAAACTCCTAAACTTCACCCTGATCGTGAACTTGAAAAGTACCCCAGTCCCAGCATACAACCTCGGTGACGTTGCTTAACGACATCATGCTGGCTCGTTGTCTTTCGACTTGTGTTTTGTGCCCTACACCGGTAACTTTCAAAGTTTCCCACTGAACGTCTTTCTGATGCTAAACGTGGTTTTGTGCTTTACATGGGCTTCTAGTGCCATTGTGGTTTTTTCATTATCCGTCCGTTCCGATTCTGCCAACTTTCATTCACTATTCACCCTAAATGCAGTTGTTGTTTTGCATGCTCATAGTATCTTTTGCTACAAGGACAATAAAGTTTACTAAACATTCTTAGACAAAGTTCGCTGTTTTTCACGCGTGTTAAAGAGAGTTAAAAAGATTTTAGGAGACTGGTGGTGCTCAGTGGTACGCCAGTGGCGAAAAGCGGAGAAATCCGTCAAAAACGCAAAACGGGACCCCTTTTTGGCCGTTGGTTTTCACTCATGAACAGGTAACAGCTCAGAAAGCGGACGTATGAACGAGTTCATCGCAACGCGTTTGGTGACAGCATGCCAATCCATGCTCCAGTCGAGTTGCTTCAGTTGTGCCGCTGCTGGCAACGCAGCTCGTCCAAACTAAACTAGTGGGCGGATCGCTTTTGGGGGCGGAGTGCTTTCGAAGTCCTGCTCAGCAACCAGCGCACCTTTCGTCGTGAAAGCGCCACACCTCGCTTCCCTGGCAGCCAAGTAACTGATTCGTGTGGTGCATATGCTTCCCCGATGCGCTCCCTCTTTATCGTAATCGCTGCCTTTAAGGTTCCGTGGCCACTACAAATGACTTTGGTGAACAAGGCACGGTGGCAGCGTGCACACAAAACAGTTTAGCACCTAACCCTTTGACGACATTGCGAAGTTGCGAGCTGCGGGCAGTGGAACCACACCTCTTTTTGGCACGTCCAACTGTCGCTCAGCATTTGATAAAATTGTCCCTAAAGCAGTTTTTCTATCGAATTTTCCACTTCAACGACGTGCTGGATATAACCACCGCTTGTTTTGCTTCGCTGCTTGTTCCATATTATTTTTTCTGAAGGATTTGGAAGTGTGAAAGGCGATCTCATGGTTAGATTTGAAAGCAATTGAAGGAAAAACCCTAGAAATTAATGTGCACAGCGGAATTTTTGAGACAGTTCAAACCCATTTCTGTGTCTGAAGACTATAAGAGCTGAAAAAGACTCGATGAGTAATTAATCTTCAGCCTAACCATGCAAAATTCCAATTAGTGTCGGCGAGTTAAATGCCACTTTTTAAAACTATATAAAATAGCTCATATTGAACATTGCCGTGAACCGAGCTATTATGACGCCTGCTAATAACTTGTTGCCAAAGGGCTAATCAACGCGCCTGCACTCCAACTCCGAAAAGTCCACCGCTGGAATGCGTGCCCGTGTTTGCCTACTGTTCTATTCAATCACACTGAAAGAATGCTATGGAAAGCAAGCTGGGAATTTTAATCCAGTTGTTCTCAGAGTTATCCTTTTTTTGCTGAGAAACATCCGAATACCAGCTTGGTGTAATTATATCAGGCCAGTTTGGTTCCGCTCGCTACGGAGTAGGCTTCAGAAGAACTGAGCATAGCCGGGTTCTTGCGGCAGCGAGCGAAACGTATGCTTTTGATGGATCTCACTGATGTTATTAACGAAAGGTTATTATGGTGCTGGTGATAAGACTATCATTTCCCGCAGCTCGTCAATACCCATAAACATCCATCATTTTTCGGAAACCAACATGGTCTAGCGGCCGAATAAGCCTTGGATAACTAATACAATTGCTCGAGCTGCATGATAGTTGTTTACGCTATCAGGACTAGCATAAACAACTATCATGCTTCGAATGTTGGGATGGTTTAGCGGTTGCAACTTCTTATGCCTATGGCATTGAAATAGAAACACCAACACTTATTATGCACAAACACCGACCATATTAAAAAGCTCGGGAGATTAGCGGTCTAACGAATTTCGATGGTGACGACGAAATCGCAGATGAAGTGGAATGCATTTCTTATCGCGCATCTAGATAACAACTTCGGTGACTTCTCCGTTCTCAAGCTAATCGCTCTTATCAGCCCTTATCAGCTGATTGTCACTTTTTGTCACCCTTCATAAAATATGACCCTTCAAAAGCAACAACTCTCTACTGCTGAGGTGCGTGTACGCAATTCCGTGGCCGTAATAACTTCGTATAG